CCCTTCCCAGGCGACGCACGTCCTGGGAAGTTGCGGCACAAATTGTCCGGCAGGCGCAGGGCTTAAGGATGCGGCCCAAACTTCCTGGTGTGCTTGGAGGTTCATGGTACTTCTTAACCAAACAGCAGCTTATTAACCCAATAATAAGGGTTTAGGGTTTAGGATCTAGGGTTTAGGGTAACTGTACTTATAACCCAATGATATCCACATTAGGGCACTTAAGGGGGTTATAAGTGGGCTATACGAACAGTTCTCATTGGTTAATGAGTACCATGAACCTCCAAGTGGAGCCTTCTGGAAGGTGCTTTGAGGTCTGGCTCTGCCACCATCTACTACTCAAGCATGGAGCACGAGGCGCCACCTTCGAAAGCTTCTGGAACATAGGATCGGGCCCTTACTTGAAGGTTCACGAGTAGTTCGAAGTAGGGTTCATGAGCACCCAAATTCGGGATAGTTACCCTCACCTATAGCCGCGCCCCGGGTAGAACTACCCATGAACCTCCAAGTAGGCATGGACGCTGCACAGCTCGAAGGCCCTTAACCCGGAACATGCCCGCTTCATGTAACTACATGCGACATGCTACCTCGTTTCATGCTACTACATGCGCGAGTCGCGCTAACAGGGCTTATGCTAGCGGCATTTCCTGCTTCGCGGGAGTAGCTTCATGCTGCTTGCAGATTCATGCTTCTGTTTTTGGCACTTCGTGCTACTCACTTCGGCGCTTCTCGCTAGCCACTTTGGCAGCCATTTTCTTGCGCGACTCGCCCAAACTCAAATTTGCAGATTCGCATTGCTTTTATGGCCCGGTGGTTCAATCAATCACTTTTTCCGATTCACGCCGCGCACTTTGGTTATCTTTGGTAGACTCGCTGCCGTTTTCTGTGCGATTCATACAACTCCGTTTGCAGATTCTCAAGCCCGCAGCAAACGGGTTTAGCATCCAAAAACATCCTCTCCTATAGCTTGTGGGAGAGGTCAAGGGCTTCGGAGGGGAGGGGGGGGCGGGGGTGATTACGCGCATTGCTGCACACAAGCTGAGTCCAGAAGCAGGAGCACCCACTGTATTTACAAAAAACACCCCACCGCCTCAACCTGTACGAACCCTGGCAGCTTAGCATCCCTCCTCCCCTCACCACAGCGCTATCAGTGATTTGGTGTTCTGGTGCACGAGCCCGTCCGGGTGGGACGAAACTGCGTTTCCTGGGTGCACCAATATGCGAGAGCTGGCTGCGCAAATCCGCGTTTTGTGGTTGCGTGAGACTCCTGACTGCTGGTGTTGCTGCACGATTTCGCATTTTGGAAAGCACGTCGGTCCGTTTACGGAGTTGCACGAATCCGCGCTTTTCAGAGTTTCAGGAACCTACGGTCCTCCTTGCATGAATGTCCCGTGCTACCTCTGAACCCCTTGGACCTGTCAACCCAAAGTCCTAGAGTTTAGGGTTTAGGGTTTAGGGTTTAGGGCTGAGCCGCAGCTCTGCAAAGTCCGAGGCTCGAACGAGCATGGGATGCCCATTGGGGTGGGCTCGGATCTCATTCTGAGGCTGCCTTCAAGTCTTCTTTGAGGACATTGAATTCTTGTTTGGGGAGTTTAGGGAGTCTAAGGAACTTGAATTACGTAAGTTTCTGCAGTTCGGGTTGTATGATTCAGAAAAATTTAAACCCAAAACCCTAACTCCCATAAACCCTAAACCCTAAACCATACTAGATGATGCGGCATCCTTCCGTTTACGTGTCTTTCGCCGTGGAAAAGCGCTCGGGCATCTGGACATACCCAGGTCGGAACCGTCGAGCTCGAGTGCGGTGGCCTCAATCACGAGCTTGCTTCTGTAGCTACAAGAATGTAAACATTCAACAATGTAGTAGTACAGTACAATAGTATCAGAATACAATAATACGATATTGCAAAAATGCAATGATGAAATAATGCAACAAGCAGCACAACATGCCACGAATACAGTAGCAGAATAACACAGCAGTAGAACAATGCAACAAGATCGTAGCACAAGTAGAGGATCTTCGATTAGGCGGCCCATGAGTCGTTGATGAGGCATCAATGGGTACACGTCTGTTCGCGGCGGGCGATGCCAGAGGTGGGCCCCTGAGGGTTCTCTTTAGGGTTTAGGGTTTGGGGGTTTGGGGTTTAGGGTTTGGGGTTTACGGTTTGGGGTTTAGGGTTTAGGGTTTGAGGTTTAGGGTTTGGGGTTTAGGGTTCCGGGTTTCCACAGCGGGAGCGTTGACACGAAATGCTTCTCGAGTTCTGGGCGTGTGGTTTAATTCCCTTACCATGCGGTGAGGGGGTTGTTTGACACTAGGGCCCTTGCAAATACCTATTCGAACCACGTATCGTTGGGATCCCGCAAAAAGGAGTCCTAGTTTGTTTGGCAAAAACAGGCCTTCCACTTGTTGGCGGCACCTGGTTCTGGGAGATATCCCAGAGTACGGCCACTCTCAAGATCGTTCTTGGCAGGTAGGGTAAGTCTGTAAATCGGCCCACGAGGCATTGCGACGAAGGCCTGATCAATACCACTGCCGGGGGCTTAAGACTGGGATAGCTTCAGCGCGATGCCACTGAACAGTTTTGATGTCAATCCCCCTAAACCCTAAACCCTAAACCCTAAACCCTAAACTGTTGCTGTTTGGGACACAGGTTGCAATCGGAACAGCGCCAACGATCTCTGGGTTCGTGGTGCACGACGAGCCTGCCTGGCATGTCCTGCCATACCTCAGTCATTTCGGCCTGCAGATCCTCACCGGCACCCTGCAGATCCCTTTAGTTAAGGGTTTAGGTTTTAGGGTTAGGGTTCAGGGCTCAGGGTTTAGGGTTTAGGGCTTAGGGGCTTAGGGAATTCGGGACGTTCCGACCCCAAGTGACCTGGATGGCAGTCTGGACCACGGCAGAGGGCTCCCCGCCAGCTGCCAAAGCCCCGATGACATGCTCACCGGGCGTGGGCGGCTCAGAGTAGATGAGGTGCCAGTTCATTTTGTTGTCACGAAAGCTAGCTCTTTAGGAGCTTGCGGGAGTTCTTGTTTACCAGTTTGTTCTTGGGTCAAACAGCACTCAGGGGCCTTAATCTCCGATATATCGGAGGTTTAAGCTGTTTAAGCTGCCACACCCCCCCCCCCCCCCCCCTGGGGGTGACCACACAAGAAATCCTTGGAGGCTGGCGGACCCAAGGGGGGGGGGGGGGGGGCCATGTTCCCGATAAGGCGGGGGGGGGGGTCCCCCCCCCCATCTTAGGTCAGCATTGTTACTTATCATTTCAGGGCTTGTCTACATGACTGAGCAGCGCGGTCTTCACACCTGCGCCCTAGCTTTCGTTCGCCCTGCTCTCAAGTTGTTTTTTTCATTCTCTTGTGATTCTTTTCCTCCTATATTTTATTCTGATGATTATTATCAATATTAGAATTCGTACCATTATAATGTTATCAGTACAATCTTATATGTATGTATTCTGGAATTGATTAATGTATCACTACATTGCTTCTGAACCATTACATTATTCTTACATTATTGTATTAGTATATCAGTAATTTTTTATAATCAGTAGATTTCTTTAGTTTTTTATAATCAGTAGATTTCTTTAATTTAAGAGTACTAGTATATGATTGTATCATTGTATGAATGTATTACTATGTTGTGCCCCGGTCGTACACAGAGCAGCCAAGGTCTCGTGGTTTTCTGTGACGACGGCAACGTAAGCGCCGACTACAACCTAGGCCTCAATCCATGTCTAGGTTGACACCAAGTATCGGAACAGTGCACACATCTATCCACTAGAGCTATGTTTAATGGAACATGATTCTTGGTCCAGGCCGCTGCTACCGTCATTGTGAAGCCGGGCAGATTGGCACAGGAGTACGTGCTGTGAGGCAAGATGCCGAAGTTCGCGAGTTGAACGCATGCATGGTTCTTCATCTGGTGCTGCAGTCATGGCATCATTCCGCACATGACCAACGTGACTCTGGAGTGCTACGAGCTTACAGCCGTTGCTTGAACACCAACAGCCTGATGGATTGCCCCCTTCCGTGCAGCTCGGACCCAAAATGCAAAAGGCAATCCTGGCTTCACCGGCAACTTCTATGTTTGGGGCCCCAGAAGCTTTTGGCGCTGCATCCTCAGAAGCACTGAGCACTGCGACGGGCATGCTGCGTTAGGTCGGATGCGTTGATGGGATCGTGATTCTCTACGAGGGCTTCTGCTGTCCCAGTCTCAGTCGCCAAAGTCGACTTGTGGTGCATTGAGTCAATGGTTTAAGGATGTCTACTCCCTACCCCCTACCTCCTACCCCCTACCTCCTACCCCCTACCCACCCCTACCCCCTAGGGTTTAGGGTTGAGTCGAGTGAGAAGGAAGAGGAGAGGCCCAAGCTTCAGTAGAACGCCGCCAGACATGAACTGCATTGCGGGCACCATCACCTCGAACACCATCACGCTCCCGTCTCGGGCTGAGCTTTGCTATGCTTAGCTTGTTTTGTTTTGTTTTGTTTTGTTTTGTTTTGTTTGGTTTTGTTTTGTTTTGTTTGGTTTTGTTTGGTTTTGTTTGTTGTTTTGTTGATCTGGTGTTTAGACTAAGTATCGGGGCAACTATATCTAGTAGCAAGTAGTTGCGATGTTTCAGCGCGTTTCGGCGAGCATGTGCAGAGTCTGGCCTAGCATTCTATATCCATCGATTCGCGCTGTGGGCATTTTTTTTTGTGGTCTCGTAGGCACGAGCCTCTACTGCATGATGAAAACACTACGGTGGAGTTCCGCACTCAGCAGCGTTGGCAGCACAGTGCCCATCAGTGCCCACTTGCAGTCATGTTCATGAGTATGTGGCGTGAAGGTGCCCGCCGTCGACTCACACCGGGAACATCACTGTCGCGGCACCCTCAGAGGGTACAGTGAACGATCGCATGGCGAGGGCTGAGAGTCGATTCGTGGGAGCTGGCGGATACCCTAAGCCCCTGAAAAACTTTGGGGTTTAGGATTTGGGGCGTAGGGTTCAGGTGTGCATAGTCAGTACCGACATCTCCAATCCGAGGAGAGAGAGTTTCAGGTGAAGCTTAGAAGCTTAGCTCCCAGGTTTGAGAACAGGCTCAGCATCTCCCGTGTCTCAGTTCACGGAGGATACCTCGCGTAGTTCCTGCTAGAAGCTGAGGTGTGTGTAGACGGACAAGCTACAATGGTCGAGGGCTTTTGCGGCCAGAACTGTCTTGGACTCGGCGCCACACCGACATGAGAGGAGTCAGTGTGTGGAGAGTAGGCCTCAACTTGACAGATAGCCAAGGTACTTCTGGCTTCATCATCTCCAACGGTTCCGGTCTCAACGGCCTCTCCCGCCGACAGGAGCCCCAAGAGTCTTTTAACGATGGAAGGTGGTGATGAGGAGGATGATGATGACGAATGCCTAAACCCTAAACCCCAAACCCTAAACCCTAGACTCTAAACCCCAAACCCCAAACCCTAGACCCTAGAGTCTAAACCCCAAACCCCAAACCCCAAACCCCAAACCCCAAACCCCAAACCCCAAACCCTAAACCCTGAACCCTAAACCCTAAACCCTGGAGCGGCCCAAGGTGCACGGGTCAACTACCCAGGCATCCAGCACGGCATCGAGCATAATGTCAGTCAGGGCCCTTCAGGCTTTTCGGGTTTAGGGTTTAGGGTTTAGGGTGTGGGCTTGACGTTATAGTGTTACACGGTCATGAGTTTTTTCTTGTTGTGTTTTTTGTTTATTGTTTGTACCTTCGTACTGAAATCTTTTCTACTGTCACACACCAAAACCTACAATTTCGCTATCATTCTGTTGTGATGGTTTCGCTTTGGAAGGTTTGGAGCTTCGGGTCTCACACGGCTCAGGGTTTCTTTGAGGGTTTACGGCTTAGAGCTTCAGAGGGGTTGGGGTTCGGGGCTTCGGAAATTTTAGGGTTGAGGGTTTAGGGTCTGGGGCTCAGGGCTTGGGGTGCTTCTTATTGCCGTGCCCGTGGTGTTGCGCTCGTCGTTTCGGGTTTAGGCTGCAGGGGGTAAGGGTACGCTTGGCCTGTAAGATCAGTCCGGGGGTGGTTCTAAAGCAGAACTCCCTAACTTTTTGGGATCTTTGAAACAACTGTAAGGACTTCGATGTCTACTATGTATATGATTATATGATAAAGGCACCTTATTAACTTAATTTTGAACCATCGACAATCCCCCCCAGGTTGTCCTGCTCCTTGGGGCTCGGAGATCACGTTCCGCTGTTTTGCCGCCCTGGCGTGTGGATTGCTGGCGGGGGAGGGTTTCGAGAGCTTGGTTCGGTTCCCAGAGCCCAATGCCTCTCAATTAATCAATTAAGGACCTTTGTTTTTATAGAGATTTAATGATTTAAGGTATATAGTATATCCCTTAATTAAGGGGTATTGTGCTCTTTGGATAGTTTACAAACGATTCGCGGCCTGCCAGGATGGCAGTGTTCGTAACAGCGGCAGGCACCTTGGCAGCAAGATGCTGCCGCAGGCCCCGTAGAACTAAGGCTTGGCGCCGGCCTGTGTCGTGGGAAGATGGGGGGTCTTGGTTTAGTGTTGGTTGCGCCTTTCAATCAATCCAGCCAAGGTGTGGGCGACAATGCGTGGGAGGGTCAGTGGTCGCAGCCCCATCTGTAGGGTTACAGCTGCTCCTTGAAGGGTTCCTGCATGAGGAAGTATCACCAAGGTCCATAAGGTCGGCTGGAAGGCAATGCGCCTCCTTATGTGATCCATAATAATCTATACCTTCGTGCCGCAGTTGGCTCACCCTAAAGTGTCTTTAGGTGTGCGTGCCGGGGGTCACAAGTGCCCAGACGGCCAGTCTTTAATGCGTTGTTGAGCGCCGTCTTAGGGGTAGATCCCCTAGGATCTCGTGCTCCAATGGCGCCGCAAGAGCTCTTTCTGGGAGTACCGCTCGAAAGCAAAAACGCAATCCTGGAGACCGGGTACACTGCCCGGCGTGGTGTAATCCGCACATCCAAGACCCCGCAGGAAGCAGTAAGAGCTTTTGAGAGATGCCACTCCCGTGTTCCAGTGGCTTTGAGCTTGGAACCTCCAGCTGATGTCAGCTTGAGTGAGACCGCTGATGGCGTGTACATCCACTGTGCCCATCTTCCCGCAGAGGCCTTACATGATGCGACAGCAGCAGGGGACGTGGAGGATTCATCAGAGATGCAGATTGGTGATGCCTTCTGGGCGGTGGAGCAATCCCTGGCGGAAGAGATTCTTCGTTCTGGGTTCCAGACTCGGCATCGACGCAGCATCCCAGTTGCGTTGTCGCCCCACGAGGCCGAAGGTAGCTTCAAGCAAAGGCGTGGTTTGGAGGCCCCCTGCGCAGTCCTCCGAGTCCAGGCCGACTTAGCCAGAGCTCGAGGCTTCCACATCTTCTCCTACAGCAAGGGCCTGAGCATGCACGGGCCCAGACAGCTGAACCCTTTTAAGATTACAGCCAGTTTTCTGGAGAGGGCCCCTGCCCCTCGGGCTCCGCAGGCTGAGGATGCAGAGGAGGTTCCACTCCAAGGGGAGTGTGAGGACGGCTTCGAGCCGGCGAGTGATTCTGGGGAAGAAGAAGGTGGCCACGTGGGGGACGCGGAGTTCCCTCGCATGAAGCAAGGGGCAACGATGTGGGTCCACTTGTGCGCAGGACGTGGGTCGGATCAGAGGAGGTGGGTTCAAGGCCGCATCGTGCAAGGAGGAGAGAAGCGCCAGGAAGTGCGGGTCCAGGTCAAGAAAGGGAACCTGGGCATCCCGGAAAACATCTCGCTTGACGACGGGAGGGTTCTGGACTTTCATCATCCAGATGTTTGCCAGTTCCCGGAGATGCAGGTGGTGCAGGACGCAGAAGTGCAGGCCTTGCATGGCGCTTTGCGAGGCCTGAGGGTCTGCATACGTTGTCAGTGCACCTAAGCGACCCTAGACTTGACTGCACTAGCCCGCGAAGTGTGTAAGAACTTTGCCAGAACCGCAAGGTGGAGCTTTCACCCGCGAGCTCAAGAACGTCTTCGGGAAGTTCCAGTCCCCAGAAACATTCAAGGTGGGATCCACTATACTTCAGAGCCTTACCGAAATTTGAGTTCTGACATCCCAGACCCTGAACCATGAACTGGTCATGAACATCCTCGAGAACTGGCCATGAACCAAGACTTGAGTCTCAGGAAGTGTTTTGTCGTTCCCGATGGGCAGCTGCCAGTGAACGGGCAAGCCGACTTCTTCAAGCGCCTCGAGGCCGGCCGAGACCTTCCTTGCATGTGTGCAGCCCCCCCTGGGAGGCCTCATGTCGTAGAAACCTTGCAAGTGAGTATCTCCGCAGCGGGCGAGCCCCCACAATCAGATAGATGTGTCAGCTTCGCTGCCTCCTGGTCCTTGCGAGTTTTAGCCCTGCCGAGCTCTGCTAGCAGGCATCTTTGAAAGCTCCACTGCCCCCTGAAGCCCCTGCAGAATGTGATGAAGAAGTCAGGCGGCCTTCCGTGGCAACTCGGAAGAGGGAAGTCGTTCGCTGCTTCGCAGTCTTTGAGTGCCAAGCAGACCCCCCTTGTCCCGCTGGCGACTCCCATCTCGTGGTCAAGAGCCTGGATGGTGGCTCTGATCCACGCCTCGGAGACTATCATATGTGGGATGCGTGCAATGGCAAAGACGTGTTCAAGAAGTATGGCGCAGACATGTACCTGTACATGGCACATGGCAAGGACCTCAAGATAGGCGCGTTGCTGTTCGATATCAAGGACTACACTCACTGCGACGCGCCTGTTCTCCAGGCACGAGGTGTGGAGCTCTACCTTTACCACGAGTCTTGGGTCTGGTTGGCAGGCTGGTTGTTCGAGTAGCCCTAAACCCTAAACCCTAAAACAGTAATTGCCAAAAAAAGAAGCAAGAAGCGCTGTACTCAAACCATCATAAGGAGTGGGACTCGAACCCATATCCTCATGGGCAAGGGCGCTGGATTTTGGCGCCGGAAGTTTGAGCCTCAGCCGTCCGTGAGAAATCAAGGCCTAGAAGTGCACGAGCCTGGCACTTGTGCTGGCATTGCTTCACTTCTGCTATTCATGCTGCGATTTTTTTTTTGTGGCGGTTATGGCTGCTGCTGCCAGCGCTACTGCTATGTGCGGGCTTGTCTTTCTTGGAACATGTGTGAAAGGCGTGAAACAAGGGGCTGGCGGGTCTTTACGCAGAGAGTGAAGTCTTGGAATGCAGAAGCCCCCGCAACATCCCGCAACAGATCAGGTCATGACGTGGCCTCTTGGGACTGCGCTGGAGATGACCGATGCTTTCGCCATGTCAGAGATCCAGCAACCAGCAAGCTGGCCTCCATGGCCGGAGAACATGTCACGACTTCGCTTCAACGAGCAGCGTAAACACGCCATTGAAGAACTGCTCAGTGACGATCGAAGCTCCCTTGACAGCTGGCCTTTCATCCAAGTTCGTCATGGTGACTACTTGTGGGCATTCGGACCTAAGCCCGATGGTCAGGAGCATGTTGACACAGTCCGAGGAAACGGCAACGGCGACATCCCACTCCGCGGCTGGCACGGGGTCTACATTGAGTGGCCGGGAGCACGGCGCTTTGCATCCTCGGTTGTGATGGCCCGGCCTCATGGAAGCAGCTTCCGAAGTTTACAGAACATCTCCAAAGTCCCAAGCAAGGGCTGTCTGGGCAGGTCGAGCACATGCCACAAGCAGTCGGAAGCAATCTTCATCGAGCTCTTTGACCCCTGCAATCCAGAGCATCTGCTTCTTGGGGAGCACAAGTATCGAGAGTGCCCAGAGTGCTTCCGGCTTGGGGATCGTTGCTCCAAGATTGACGCGATGGCAGATGGCAAGGTGACGAAGCAAGCGCGCAGCTGCAGTGACTCAGGGAGCAGAGCTGAGGACTGGATGCGAGGGCGTCAGTTCCGTCCAACAGAGGGAGGTTTGGAAACCACGGTTACATTTGAGAGCATCCAAGTGCAGGTCTTCTGCTATCCTGACACACTTGCCTTCGAAAGGTCTGTGTGGGAGCTGGGGCAGGAAGCGGTCAACGGCCACAGCAACAACCGTTCGCTTTTCAACACAGCCATGACTCTCTTGAACGACCGGATCCTGAAAGGAGAGCCGCAGAGTTTAGCGCATGTGTTGTTGCTCCTCAACAATGTGCCTGGTCCCAGATAAGAACAACTTTTGGATAATGGCCTTGACGTTTATGATTCCGAAAGTTGAAATTAACGGCTGTAAAAGAAGGTTACAAGTTCTCCAAGAACGACTCAGGTGACGTGTCCACCAAAGACTGGGCTTATGCAGCAGAAGACCAAGGCTGGGGTACATGCTGCTGCTTCGGCGGAGGTGTTTGAGATGTTCAAAGAGGCGCTGGACTTCGACAAGGAGAGGCAAGGTCAACACTTGAGGCAGAAGAATGCCATTGCGGAGCTGCTCCAAGACCAGGCAGGATTCTCTCCGGAGCCCAAGACAGGATGCCCGGAGGGGTGGGTGATGTTCCCCTTGAGGGATGGCGCTTCTCACGATGCCGATCTGTGCTTCCATGGCACCTCCATGACAGCTCTGGCTCCCATCCTGCTTCAGGGCCTGAAGAAGCCCCAATCTACGGCAGATGTCGCCCACGGTCAGGCGAGATCGACATCCAAAAGAACCATCTACTTGAGCCCATCCTGGTGGTACTCCGCGCATCCCGTGTATTCTCCACTCCATGTGGTCCAGGACTCGCATGGCCGCGGGACTCCACGAGCTTTCCAGCTGGTCTTAAAGTGTGGCGTTCGCAAGGGCAAGTACACGGTTCAAGATGGCACCTTAGCAAGCAAACACTGGGACCCAGAGCTGAGGATGGATCCAGACCGGCCGACTATGGACGGAATGGAGTACCTGGTGGAGGATGAGGGCGCCATTTCCCTCATCGAGGTCATGTTCCGTGAGTTTGGGAGGGGCGCCGATGCAACAGTGTATGGAGAGTTGCCACCCAAGCTAGACGTGCGCGATGAGAAGCTTGAGTACCAGTGGACGAAAATGCTACAGAAGCACTTTCGTGCCTGCGGATGGTTCTTGACACGCAGTCCCTGAGCCATTCCCATCGAGCGACAGTCATGATTACAGTTTGCAGCAAAAAGGCACGTGTGTGCTCGTGGTCTGAACATATCCTTTGCAGGTTCAGCTTCTCTGCACTAGAACGCTTCTGCCGGACTGGTATAGTTTACAACATGCCTACTTAGCTCTACTCAAGTCATCTCCACTACAGATTTGTGTATGCGAGTGGCTTTCAGTTTACTAAGCTCGTTCCAGAGGACGGGAACTATTGCAAGGCGTTTCAATTTCTTGAAGCCCAACCAAAAAAAGGTTAACGAGTATGCGTGCTTCCTCATCATGAGATATAAGTGCCCAGAAGTGCAGCCCAGGAGCAAAACGGTGCTGTCGTGTTCTACACGAACCTTGCCCATGGAGAGGTGGTCTTTCGGGTTCTCAGGGTGTATTCTAGATCCGCGGAGTTGGTGTTGTGGATGTCTGTGCCATCTGTAGCACGGACGACGCCACAATGCGCATCGCTGTGCAGTCCGGCACCTTCATCTGCGAGACCCTATTCGCCAGCCTCGCCCCAAGCTGTGCATTGCGAGTGCTTTCCTGCATGGGCATTTCCAAAAATGGGCGGGGGGGCGGGGGTACCCTGAATATACCCAAAAAAGCATCATCCTTAGTATAAGGAACCCCCAAAAGGGTACCCCGTATTTCGGAAACCCACCACATGATTCCTCTGCATCTTAAGCGCGAAACACTGGCCACACAGGTGCTCTGACGTTCTCCGGATCGCTCACGCTCACGTGCCCCAGCTGCTTTCACGAGCTGTGCTCGCGTAAGCTCCGAGTCTAATCCTGCCGTGTCTAAGTAATGATAGTCATAGTAGGGCTGTGCTTGAGGATATCCATACTTTCAAGATGTTTGAAAATTTTTCTTGGGGTTTCTTTGCATATGAAAAAGAATCAGGAACAACAACATCAGTTCCCAAGGTGTGACGATGCTTCGGTGCGTGCGGCCGGGCTCTGCTCCCCGGACTGCCCGCCCGGAGACATCACCAACAATGGGGCTCGGGTCTGCGGCCGCGAGTTTGAAGGGCTTATTCAAAGGGGTCGGAATAATTTCTAATAGTATTCCCTTAGGGTCTCTTGATAAACATACTCCAATGCCCTATATTACAGGGTTTTTGTGAAGGTTGTATCTGTATCATGGATGTAGGGCTGAGGGTTTAGCGTCAGGGCTGGCTGTCAAAGACAGCCTCCCTACTTCTGCTCAATGGCCACTGCTGCGAGTGAATTTGTGTGTTTCTGGCCAGATCATCGTTCCGCCGTTGAAATCGGACGCCTTTATTGACACATTCTGCCAACCACGTGCAGCTCATGGTGAGGTGCGGCACCCCGAACTGTTCACTTCCTTCTCTCTCTCTCTTTCTCTGTCTCTTTTGGGGTTTAGGGTTTAGGGTTTAGGGTTTAGGGTTTAGGGTCTCTCTCTCTCTTTCTCCTTGTCCCTCTCGAGCTGCAGTTGGTCTTCGCTTCTCGCATGGAGGTCGATCTAAATGATGAGTTCTCTCTGGGTAGATCTTTGGTGCAATCCATGTCGATGGGTAGTTCTCAAAAGGACGGCCCCTTGTTTGGGTACCATGGATATAGGGCCCCAGTTTGTAATGCGAAGCCTCACAAAGAGCACCATAATGCAGATTAACCCTGAAACCTTACACCCTACACCCCGAATAGGGGGGTCCCCTATGTCACGGTTGCCAAGATCTCCACGTGCAGGTTCGAGTTACCTGCCTTGGTGGCTTCCAGGTCGTGACTCAAGGCCGCGGTTCAGAGCTCTGGGGCTAGGGAGCACAGTGGTTCTAAGCAGGGGGATTGGGCCTCACCTTTATTTCCGGGTGGTTCAGTTCTCTAAGCCTTTCTTGAGGTTTGAGAATGCGGTTGCCCGCGCTGCTGATTCGCATCTAGCCGCTTCTGCAAGCGCAGCCCATAGCCACACAACATTAGATGCTTAGGCTTAGGCCCTGGTGTAACGAGAGTGTAAGGTTTGGAGATTTGAGACCTCAGCCTTTGCATGCGGCCATGCTGCGAGACTATACCTTCACAGGCCTGTTTGGTCAACATCTGCGTCACCTCGCTGCTTTGGAGCCTCAGACACTGAACGGCAGGAGCAGCAAGATCATCTTGGCCAGAGGATGAGCCGTCTGCTTAGACCTCAGGCGGAAGCACAAACCACACCTCGTCCTTGCTCTCAACCGCTACAGTCCCTCCCAAGAAGGCTGCAAACCTTTGCGATCCTCTGCGTTCCCACTGCAGCCATGGGGCAAAGCTGCTGCTGCACAACAGCAGGTTTGGCCCATGGTTGCAATGGCAACGCAGATGATCGCAAAGGTTTGCAGCCTTCTTGGGAGGAACTGTAGAGCCGATCTAAGCAGACGGCTCATTCACAACTGCGGAACACTTCAGTCAGATGACTTGCCGCTGGAACACGGCGAGACGTTGCAACGAAACCCATGGCTCTGCGGCTACGGGAATGCCGGGATTTCGGAATGGCGCCTTCAGCTTGCGTCACTGAAAACTTCAACCATGATTCGAAGTCCGACTTCAAGTTTGCAGTGGTGGAATTCGAAGATGCCATGGTCTGCAGAATGCGCTTACAAGTTTTTGGTCTGTTTCGAGAGCTCGTCCCAGCTTAGCGCCCGACCGGGAGCTGGGATTATACGGGGCAGTCCTGTTGCTTCGGCCGCGACAAGGTTGAGTTTGACTTCGACACAAGCTCGAAATTTGCAGTCTTGCCGCCTGCAGGTGCCATACTCAGAAGCATAAAAGCTGATGATGCATCACATTGAGCGTCACGAGATGCTGTTTGATTTTTGTGGTGCTTTTTACTTGTATGTATCAGAAACAGACGTAGACCACACCATACATGCAATCAGTTTTTCACCTACATCCCCATGACCTGCTACTAAGTACCTCTAAACCCTAAACCCTGAAATCTGAAGCTTTTAACAGCTTGAGCGGTGGCACCGAAGACTCTTAAGATCCCTTCAGACCCTTCAGATAGGCGTTGATCCAAGTTTCGGCCCCACCTTTTTGCCGCCCGAAAGCAATACGGCCTTTGCTAGAATAAAGACCCCCTAAGAGAGGACCAAAAGTCAGAGCCTCCTCCCACTCCAAAAAAACCTGATAGGACCCACGAACCCGAATGCGGAAAGCAGTCACCCGTGACGCAGATATAACGCGGAATCAACGAAACGTCGGCGCGCGGGCGGAAAAGAGGGTTTCGTTTCGCACGGTTCAAACAGAACATTGTGCATGAAGTGCAGGAGCTTCGCCTGACAGCACGGGCAATAAGAATTCATGATGTCAAAGGCTGCAAGGCAACGTGCATATTTCTGCAAGAGCGAAGGCATGCGTTCAATCTCTTATGTGTGGATCACACCATGGTAATTCAACATTTTCAGCCGGCTACCATCTAATTCCTGACTTAGCTCCTCGTCACTTTCGTATGTCGCTGTGGATTTAAGGCACGTGAACGCCACAGCGGCACGCGTCCTGTGGAGTTCCCCCTTAGCTTGACAGATTGGGAACGCCGCGGAACGCCACGTGGAACGCCACGGCGGCGCGCGTCCTGTGGAGTTCCCCCTTAGCTTCACGGATTCGGAACGCCGCGGAACGCCACGTCGAACACCACGGCGGCAGTGGATTTCCCCTTTGGCTTGACGGATTGGGAACGCCGTGGAACGCCACGTGGAACGCCACGGCGGCGCGTGTCCTGTGGAGTTCCCCCTTATATCTTGACGGATTGACGGATTCGGAACGCCGCGGAACGGCACGTGCAACGCCACGGAGGCGCGAGTTCCCCCTTAGCTTGACGGATTCGGAACGCCGCTTATCACGCCACGTGGAACGCCGCGGAAGCGCGCCCTGTGGAGTTCGGAACGGCGCGTGAAACGCCACGGTGGCGCGCGTCCTGTGGAGTTCCCCCTTAGCTTGACGGATTCGGAACGCCGCTGAACGCCACGTCGAACGCCGCGGCAGCGCGCGTCCTCTGAAGTTCCCCCTTAGCGTGACGGATTCGGAACGCCGCGGAACGCCACCTGGAACGCCACGGCGGCGCGCGTCCTGTGGAGTTCCCCCTTAGCTTGACGGATTCGGAACACCGCGGAACGCCACGTGGAACGCCACGGCGGCGCGCGTCCTGTGCAGTTCCTCCTTAACAGCACGCATTACGCCACTCGCGGACGCTTGCGGACGCTTGCGAACGCTTGCGGACGCTTGCGGACGCTCATGCGAACACTTGCGGACGCTTGCGGACGCTTGGCGGACGCTTGGCGGACACAACGCAACGACGTTTGGTAACCTCCCAACCCCCAGACCCCCAAGTTTAAAACGGGAACCGGGAACCCTTCTGCGGAGCATTCGGGAACAAACCTACAAGCGAACCGCTCAAGACCTACTACCCCCGACGGGAAATACAAAAACACCCCAAACCCTTGACCGTGCCTGAGTCGATGGGAGGTTCATGTGGCGACCCCTGTCCAGAGGGCTGGTTCTCCAACGTCTGGAGCTTGGAGGGGGCTTTGCGGGGGTGAGAAGAGAGCTTGGGCAGTTTCAGGCTTTTCGGGGTTCAGAGTTCAGGGTTCAGGGTTTAGGGTTCAGGGTTCAGGGTTTAGGGGTATGTTATGTTCTGGTGTTCTTGGAGCTGAGGTGAACACGCGGCATACAGATCTGTGGCTCGAGGCGGGAGTCTCTGTCAATCTGCCCTTGCTCTGTGGGATGTTCCCCCTTTATACTAACAACCTTCATAGAGTTTAGGGTTTAGGGTTTAGAGTTTGGGGTTTAGGGTTTAGGGGGACCCTTAATAGGGATTATAGTAGCCCCCTAGTGTAATCCCTATTAAGGGCTGCTAGTAAAAGGGGGAACATCCCAACTTTCCCTGTTTGCCATCTCTATCTCTCTTCGGCCAGCGTGAACAGCAAGGGTAGCAGCTTTGAATGCTCGCCAGGAGGTTTCCCACGACAAAGGCGTCTGGAAGGATTGCCCCCAGGACTGAGG